CTAATCCAGGGGGGGAAGGGGGGGGTTTGTATCTTAGGCTACCAAAGACAAAACACATACAATTGAAAAAATGTCTAATCTGTCAAATTGTATCTTAGGCTACCAAAGACAAAACACATACAATTGAAAAGTTCCTTGTTGATTTGTCTTAACTAAACTATTTGTCCCTAGTCCGATTATATAGTATAAAAGGGATGTAATTAATTAAACTGGTGGTATTGAGGAATCAGTATTCCCCTTTCAGATGAAAAAAAAATAACGAGACATGGTTGAGCCACGTAGACGTGGCTTTATCATTTCTTTTTAGCTAGAACTGACGCACATTAGAACTAGTTGAACTGATTTGCCTGGTTCAGCTACTTAATTCATTAAATCCAGTCCTAGGTATAACTAAAAACTTACTGAATGAATTGTGCCGCAAAGTTGTTTCTGAGGAATCATGGCGGTCTTCTCTGTGGAGGAGATGATCAAGGAGTTCTTATCCTCGCATATTCCTCTCTCCATAGGCTTCATCTCAAACTCGAGGAAATCTGCAGAGGAAAATAGAGGGTATAGCTTTCAGCACTGTAGCACCCAAGGAAGGTTTATGGATCGAATTTTCAAAAATTTGCTTCCAACTAAATTAGATTTTTGAAATTTTTTTAAATCCACAAATTAGTTTGTAGTTTTTGTTTTTGTATACAAAGAATACAAATAGAACATGTTCACAATTGAACCAGAAAATAGCCTAGCATAAGAAACTTGGCTTTTCTTTATATACACTGTAAAAACAAAAACATAAAAAAATTCCGCGGATTTTATAACAATAAATTTCGTTGATTTTCAAAATTTAATGAATTTTGAAATTTTGATCATCCATGAACCTTTCCTACAGGGAACATGTGAGGTCCCACAACAAATTTGGCCCGATCGGTATACAAAAAAAAACCCAATTATTTTGCGGATTTTATTAAAAAAATTTTATGAATGTTCAAAATTTAATGCACAAAATTTAATGACAATCGAATTTGCTGGAGGATAAATTTTTTAATTTTGATCATTTATAAACCATCCCAGGGGTCACGTGAGGTCCCACAAAAAATTTGTGCCCGATCGGTTCAGCCGTTTTGACTTATTGAAACAATCAAACCAAAAAACAGACAAGCAAATTATAAATATCAACACTTTCCCCCCAGCCCCTGCCTTTAATTCACATCATTCTATAATCCGTGCTGTTTAGAAACAAAACGCTGGAGTTTCGAAAGATTCTCAATAAAAAAATCAAGAAGTAGCATCTCAAAGGAAATAATTATTTACATCTACTTTACAAGGTAGGGTTTCCAATTCGCAATTGCGCAATAATCCTAAAACTTGATTTGCAGCTGGCTATCTTATCTGTAAAAATTTAAAATTCACCTTGTTGCATGCCACAACCAGAAACCGTAGTTGTAGCCGACAAAAACTATTTTTCATTGTTGTTATGGATATCAGAAAAAAACTAAAACTTTTACGGATCATTGCGCTAAACCTTACCGCATTTATAGCTAAAGTTGTGTATTTTCTTAAAGGTAATTTTTAACAAAAGATGTTCAAACTTTCCTGAAATTGAATGAAACGCTATTACGCAAAAGCTCTACAACGGGAATTTTACGTTTTCCGCAAAAGTTTTTAAAAATTTTATCGACTTTTGCGATTAAAATGCACCAAGTTTTTCATAAAAACTTCAGAGCGGTTGGTTTTTGTTTACCAACATCCTATGAAAAGGGAATCATTGGTGAGCCAAAAGCCACAAATCATTAAAAAAAATATTTTTTCATTCTTTTTACCGCGTCTAATAATCTTTCTGATAATGTAAAACTTTTCAAATCAGATTCGGAGCTCATAAACTGTGACACCTTCTGCAAAGACCCCTCCCGCACCAGATTTTTCAGGGTTAAAACCAAAACAAACCTAATCTAAGCTGGCAAACTCCAGGAAGCAGGTCAACCTTGAAGATACAGTCTTCTTTTTGAAGAGTAGTGGACTTTGGGTAGTCAGGGTTGGTTAGATAGGATACCTAACAACAGCAGATAATTACTTATAACAGCAAACTTTGGATAGTCAGGGTTAGGGAAATTAATTACAATGAACATTGTTCCTTGGGAGCCATTAGGCAATATATTATTATTCTCATTGACAATTTGACTTTGACAGTACACTGCAAAATAACAATGTTAATTGTTAAAACATGCTATGATAATTTGGTTTTCATGATTTTACTTTTTTATTTCAGAGACTCCTGAAAGAGGGAAGGTGAAATTGTAATGCCATCTGGTATATTTTCATTAAACAATAAATTCATGCATTTTTTAGGAGTTGGTTTGAAATGGATCCGGCACTGGAAGCAATGTCAACAACCTTTAATTTACCTCCTTATTAGTTTCATAACCACAATATGAAGGAAATATACAGCAGGATCTAATATGGTGGGCAGCATCTAATCCCTTAATTTACCTCCTTATTAGTCTCATAACCACAATATGAAGGAAATATACAGCAGGATCTAATAT